GGGGGGGAAGGGAGAGAGGCAAACCATGAGAGACTCTTGAATGCTGACAAAAACTGAGGACTGATGGATGTAGGGCACTTGTGGGGATGAGCACTGGGTGTTATGTGGAAACCTATTTGACAATAAACTATTTGTAAAAAAAATGAGTGTGATACTATCTATCTCACATGATTAGAATTAGAAATAAATGTTGCAAGAAATTAATAACATAAAAATCAGGAAAACATCTCAAATTTCACATGCATATACCAGGCCATAAAGCAAGACTCAACAAGTTTTATAGAATCATTATTACATATACCACGTTCTCTGAAAATAATGCAATTAAGTTTGAAATTAATAACCTAATATATACCCTAAGGAAAGCTCCCATACTTGTGGAAACTTAAAATCACACTGTAAATAACTCATGCATTAAACAAATCAGTGGAAGTTTGAAAACAAATACAAATAACCAATAATGATATGTACAAATACTTGTAGCAACAAATCTAGAGCTAAATTCAAGGGAAATGTATGGCCCTAAATGCATATATTAGAAAAGAAAGCTGAAAAATAATGAGCTTATTCCTCAAATTACAAGTTGAAAAAGACCAGCAAAATAAACCCAAATAACATAGGGAAAGGAAATAAAGAACAAAAATTAATAAAAGAAAAATTAAGATTTTTGGTAAAGATTAATAAGATTGACAAATCTCTAGCTAGATTAATAACCAAGTAAAAAAAAAGGCATAAGCAAATAATATTTAAAATGAAGAAAGAACATAATTACATTTATAGCAGAGACTAAAAGAAGAAAGTACTTTCAACAAATTTATACTATTTTTAAAACTTATAAAAATTATATATACCTAAAAAGTGACTTACAAAAAGTGACTCAAGAAGCAATAGAAAACCTAAATGAACATGTATCCATTAAAATGAATCAGCAGTTACATAATTTCCCCCAAAGAAAGCAGCAAGCCCCAATAACTTTACAATTTCTACTGTATACCCATGATTCAAGTATTTCTTATCTTATACAGGCTCTTCCAGAAAACAGAAAGAGTTTGCTGGTTGTTTGTCCAAATATATTTTCCTCTTCTTCCCAGGCAAAAAACTAGACTATGTGTCCCAGCTTCCCATACCATTAGGTGAAGCCATATGACGGAGTTCTAACCAATGGAATTTGAATAGACGTGATGTCATAAAAACCTGTCAAGCACCTTTGTCCATGTTCCTCTCCTTTTAGGCTTGAGTGGGATGGAGATTATCCCCAGGGAACTTTGGAGCTATGTGTTATCATGGATCTAATGAACATTTATAGGTAACTCAACGCAAATAAAATGAAAACACAGTATATCAGGATTTAGGGAATGTCACAAAAGCAGAACTTACGAAAAAATTTATACCAAAAACCTGCAATATTAAAAACAAAGTGTGTAAAAACTTAAAAGCTAAAGTAGAGCTGATTAAGCCTGAATAGAAGAAAAAATATTAAAAACTAATGTGAAAACCAATGAAACAGAAAACAGAAAGCAATACAGATTGTAACCCAAAATCAAAAGCTAGTAATAGATATGCCGAGAGAGAGAGAGAGGGAGAGAGAGAGAAAGGAATCCAAGTATTATCACTGAAGAAAGCCAACAAACCATGGCAGATAGCAAGAGAAGAAAAAAGAAATGTATAGAATCAACCATAAAACAAAAAACAAATGGCAACAAATACATATCTACCAATTTTAAATGCTCCAATCAAAAGACATAGGGTGAAAGAGAGGATTAAAAAAAACAAGACCCATCTATAGGCTGTCTACAAGACATTCATTTCAGTCTGAAAGACACCTGAAGATTGAAAGTGAGGGGATGGAGAAACAGTCATCATGCAAATGGATGTCAAAAGAAAGCCAGAGTAGCAATACTTATACTGGACAAAATAGACTTTAAAACAAAGAGTATAACAAGAGACAAAGAAGGACACTATATAATAATAAATGGAACAACCCAAGAAGAAGATATAACAACTACAAATATTTACCCATCCAACATCAAAACACCCAAATACATAAAAACAGTTAATAACAAACATAAAGGAAATAATTGATAGTAATACAGTAATAGTAGGGGGCTTAATACCCCATTACATTGATGGACAGATTATCCAACAGAAAATAAACGAGGAAACAGTGCCTCAAATGACACACTGGACCAGAGGGATTTAACAGATAATTTCACGAACATTCCATCCTAAAGTAACAGAATATACATTCTTTTCAAGTGCACATGGAACATTTTCCAGAATAGATCACTTATTAAGACACAAAAGAAGTCTCAAAATTCAAAATATCACAGTTATACCATGCAACTTTTCTGACCACATTGCTATAAAACCAAAAATCAACAAGAAAAATCTGGAAAGACCACAAATACATGGATGTTAAATAACATGCTACTAAACAATGAATGGGTCAACCACAAAATAAAAGAAGAAATTAACAGTTACATGGAAACAGGTGAAATTGAAAACACAACAATCCAAAATCTTTGGGATGCAGCAAAAGCAGTTCTAAGAGGGAAGTTTAGAGTAACACAGGTCTACCTCAAGAGAAAAGAAAAATCTCAAACAACCTACACTTATACCTAAAGGAGCTAGAAAAAGAAGAACAAACAAAACCCAAACACAGTAAAAAGAAAGACATAATAATATTAGAGCAAAAATAAGTGATATAGAAACTAAAACAATACAACAGATCAATGAAACCAATAACTGGTTTTTTGAAAAGATCAACAAAATCAATAAATCTTTAGGCAGAATCATAGAGATAGAGAGAGAGAGAGAGAACCCAAATAAACAAAATCACTAATGAAAGAGGAAGAATAACAACCAACACCACAGAAAGACAAACAATTGTAACAGAATATTATGAAAACCTGTATGTCAACAAACTGAACAACTTAGATGAAATGGATAAATTCCTAAAAACATATAACCTACCAAAACTAAAGTATGAAGAAACAGAAAAATTGAACAGATCAATGAAATTGAATCATCAATCAAAAAACTTCCCAAAAGATAAAGGTCCAGGATCAGACAGCTTCACAGGCAAGTTCTATCAAATATTTAAAGAGGAGCTAATACCTATTTTCAAACTATTCCAAAATATAGAAGAGGAAAGAAAACTTCCAGATTCTTTCTATGAGACCAGCATTATCCTGATACCAAAATCAAATAAAGACACCAGAGAGAGAGAGAGAGAGAGAACTACAGGCTAATATCTCTGACATAAATGAAAAAAATCTCAACAAAATGAGCAAACTGATTTGCTAACAGTATTGTAACTGTTACAATAATGTGTAACATATCACATAGACAAAACAATGTGATATGTTACATCAATAAGAGAAAGGATAAAAACATAGGATCATTTCTCTTTTTTTAAAGTTTTTATTTGTATTCCAGTTAGATAACATACAGTGTAAAATTAGTTTTAGGTATAAAATACAGTGACTCAGCACTTCCATACAACACCTGACCTCATCACAACAAGTTTACTCCTTAATCCCCATCACCTATTTAAACCATCCCTCCACCACTCTCCATTCTGGTAATCATCACTTTGTTCTTTATAGTTAAGATGCTTTTCCTTGGTTTGCCCTGATCTCGCTCTCTCCCCTTTGTTCATTTGTTTTGTTCCTTAAATTCCACATATTTGTGAAATCATATTGTATTTGTCTTTCTCTGATTGACTTATTTCACTTAGTTTAATGTTCTCTAGCTCCATCCATGTTGCAAATGGCAAGATTTCATTCTTTTTTATGACTAAGGATTATTCCATTACACACACACACCACATCTTCTGTATCCATTCATTAGTTGATGGGCACTTGGGCTCTTTCCATAATTTGGCTACGAATGTATGTATCCTTTTGAACACATGTATCCTTTTGAACACATTTAATGCAATCCCTATCAAAATACCAATAGCATTTTTCACAGAGCTAGAACAAACAATCCTAAAATTTGTATGGAGCCACAGAAGACCCCAAATAGCCAAAGTAATTTTGAAAAAGAAAAGCAAAGCTGGGATGCATGGGTGGCTGTGTGGGTTAAGTGTCCAATTCTTAGGTTTTGATTCAGGTCATGATCTCATGGTTTGTAAGATCAAGCCCAGTGTCGGGCTCCATACTGACTGTGTAGAGCCAGCTTGGGATTCTCTCTCTTTCTCCCTCTCTACTCTCCCCACTCACATACGTGCTCTCTCTGTCTCTGAAAATAAATAAATAAACTTTGAAAAATAAGTAAAGCTGGAGGCATCACAATTCTGGCCTTCCAATTATAGTATAAAGCTGTAGTGATCAAAACAGTATGGTATTGGCCTAAAAATAGACACATGGATCAATAACAGACTAGAAAATCCAGAAATAAGCTCACAGTTATATGGTCAATTAATCTTCAACAAAGAAGTAATGAGTATACATTGGGTAAAAGACAGTCTTTTTTAAAAATGATGTTGGGAAAACTGGATAGCCACATGCAAAAGAATTAAACTAGACCACTTTCTTTCACTATACACAAAAATAAATTCAAAATGGATTAAAGACCTAAATGTGAGACCTGAAACCATAAAAATTCTCGGAGAGAGAATAGGCAGCAATTTCTCTGACATTGGCCATGGCAACATTTTTCTAGATATGTCTCCTGAGGTAAGGGAAATAGAAGCAGAAATAAACTATTGGGATTATATAAAAACAAAAGGCTTTTGCACATCAAAGGAAGAAATCAACAAAACTAAAAGGCAACCTACTGAATAGAAGATATTTGCAAATGACATATCTGATAAAGGGTAAGTATTTAAAGTACTTATACAACTCAATACCCCAAAACCAAATAATCTGATTAAAAATGGGCAGAAGCCATGAACCAGACATTTATCTAAAGAAGACATCCAGATGGCCAAGAGACACATGCAAAGATCCTCAACACCACTCATCATCAGGGAAATGAGATATCACCTCACACTTGTCAGAATGGCTAAAATCAAAAACACAAGAAAAAACAAGTATTTGTGAGGAAATGGAGAAAAAGGAACCCTCTTGCATTGTTGGTGGGAATGCAAACTGATGCAACCACTGTGGGAAACAGTATGGTGGTTCCTCAAAAAGTTAAAAATAGAACTACCCTATGATCCAGTAATTGCACTAATGGGTATTTACTCCCAAAAGACAAAAACACTAATTCAGAGGGATATATCACCCTTATGTTTATTGCAGTGCTATTTACAGTAGCCAAACTATGGAAGTAGCCCATGTTTTCATCAATAAATGCATGGATGAAGATTTGGTATACCAATAGACACATGAAAAAATGCTCAACATCACTCATTATCAGGGAAATGCAAATCAAAACCACAATGAGATATCACCTCACACCTGTTAGAATTGCTAAAATCAAGAAGACAAAGAATGAATGTTGGTAAGGGTGTGGAGAAAAAGGGACCCTTGTGCACTGTTGGTGGTAATGTAAATTGGTACAACCACTGTGGAAAACATTATGGAGGATCCTCAAAAAATTACAAATAGAATTACCTACATTTCTGTTATTGTATATTTACCCAGGGAAAAAAAAATACTAACTCCAGAAGATACATGCACCTGTATATTTACTGCAGTGTGATCTACAATAGCTAAGATATGGAAGCAACCTAAGTGTTCATTGATAGACAAATGAATAAGTAAAATGTGTTATGTATACACAATGGAATATTACATGCCCATAAAAAATGATGAGATCATTCCTTTTGAGACAACATGGATGGACCTAAAGAGTATTATGCTAAGTGAAATAAGTCAGACTGAGAAAGGCAAATACCATATGATTCCACTCATAAATGGAATCTGCAAAAATGAATAAACAAACAAAAAGCAGAATCAGAACTACGAATACAGAGAACAAACTGATGGTTGCCAGAGAGGAGGGAAGTAGGAAGTTGGCAAAATAGGTGGAGGGGAAAGGGAGATACAGGCCTCCAGTTACAGAATGAGTAAGTCATGGGAATTAAAGTCAGAGCCTAAGGAATACACTCAATGATATTGTAATAGTGATGTAATGGGAGAGATAGTAGCTATACTTGTGGTGAACATAGTAAAATGTAT